CTTGCCCTCAGCCCCTGTAGAGACTCAGCTGGGCTGGGATCCGCCGGGGGCGGGGGCGCGGGGAGGAGGGGGACGCAGTCCCAGAAGGACTGAGAGGAGATGGGGGCCTGGGGCGGTCCTTTGGACCCCCCGATCGCCAGGTTTCAGCCTCTGCTGCCTGGAAAAGGGAGGCAGTGAGAGGCTTGAGACTCAGCCTAGATGGGGGAGAGCCCGACTGATCCACGGTGACTTGGGATGCAGTGAGTAGGCAGAACCTCTGGTGCTGAAGGGTGAAACTTGGAAACGCAACCTAGTCTGTTGAAGGAATGCAGTGTTCTCTTTCCTTGCAGATTAGGCGGGGGTGCGAATGCGAAGTCCTTGTTTGGTATGCTAAGGAATTGAGGCTCTCTATGCAGCAGGCAAGGGGCTGTCATGAGAAGGTGTCTAAATGAAGCCACCGCATAATCGTATTTGGTTTGGGGTACATCATTCTAACAACTTGGTGATAAAATGTGTGGAGTTGAGAGGGGAGGCACGGAATGCAATTGGGAGGCTTCACCAAACGGGGAAACCAACCCAAGTCCAAACAAAGAGAAAAAAGTAGATGCTTTCAACCTTGTATTATGTCTTTTCCCATTCAGTTCTGTTGGGCTTCATTATTCCTGTACAAAAGATTGTTCTGTTTGCCTTTTGGGTTTATTTTATTTCAACCACTTGATACTTGCAGAGGTATTGTGGCTTGCCTTGGGAACCTAATGACCATATTTAGCATGATTTCTATGGTAGAACTTTTGAGTTAAAAATTTAAGTAATAAAAATCAATAATCTTGGCATACAATCTGTTGAATCACTTTGTGGCTAGGGCACATGACTGGGCAATGTGTTTGTTGGTAATTTTTATATTTACTACTAAGGTCTGGGGGGGATGCATAAAGCTGGCAAGGTCATCGTTCTTTCCCTCTGCATAAATAAAAATAAAAAGAGGAAGGTGGAGGGAGAGTAAATTAGCTACAAAGTGTATGTGCACTGCCCTGGCCAGTGTGGTTCAGTAGTTAGAGCATGGCCTGTGGACCAAAGGACCAAGGGTTTGATTCCTGGTCAAGAGCACGTACCTGGGTTGCAGGCTCAATCCCTGACCCCCAGTCCCCAGCCCCATCAGGCACATTCCAGAGGCAACCAATGGATGTATCTCTCACACCAATGTTTTTTTCTTTCTCTCTCTCTCTCCCTCCCTTCCTCCCTTTCAATCTCTCTGAAAAATTAATGGAAAAATATCTTCAGGTGAGGATTAACAACAACAAAATAAAGCAAAAACAAAATGTGTGTGCACTGTCTAAAATGATCTAATTTTTTAAAATTACCATTTTAGTTAAAACAAGTCTTGGGATGCCCTAGCTGGTTTCTCAGTGGTTAGAGCCTTGGCCTCCGGACTGAAGGGTCCCAGGTTTAATGACTGGCCCCCAGTCGGGGTGTGTGCAGGAGGCAACCAATGAATGTGTCTTACTCTCTCTCTAAATAAAAACCAATAGAAAAAATATCCTTGGGTGAGGATTAACAAAAAACAAGCCTTGAGAGAAAAACACAAGTTTTTTTTTGTCTTTTATGTTTTTTTTCCTCATTATTTATTTATTTATTTTTAATATATTTTATTGATTTTTTATAGAGAGGAAGGGAGAGAGATAGAGAGTTAGAAACATCGATGCGAGAGAAACATCAACACTCTATATATATATGTATATATATATATTTATTTATTTATATAAAAAGACCAATAGCAGTATGTTACGCATCAATAGCAGCAACAGCTTTTCCAGGTTCTGCAGTCATCTGAACAAAATTATAGACATCCAGCACACTCTTCCAATAAAAAAAAGTAAAAAACAAATCTCCAGAAAACAGCAAAGTTCTGTCACTGTTGTGATACCTGGCACCATTTTTTTTTAAGCTTCTCCATCATCATCTGGAAAGAAAACATTCTAGGATAACGTCATTAAAAACAGCTCTGATAAAGCACGGTCACTACTACGTATCATAAAGCAGGTACAAGGTATTTTACATTCACAGAGGTATGATACAGTCCTGCCCTACATCTATAATACTAGCACGGTCATTACTATGTATCATCAAGCAGGTACAAGGTATTTTACATTCACAGAGGTATGATACAGTCCTGCCCTACATCTATAATACGAGCACGGTCATTACTATGTATCATCAAGCAGGTACAAGGTATTTTACATTCACAGAGGTATGATACAGTACTGCCCTACATCTATAATACTAGAGATACAATTAAAAAGGCATTGTTTGAGACTTGATTCTGTTTTCTCAGCAGAGGCCCCAAGGGTGGGACAGCAGCTCTGGGAAGACGCACCTTCTCAGACAGGTTTTCCTCTCATTAGTGGCACAGTTCTAGGTACGGACTGCTCTTCATGCATATCACCTAAAAACCATTTCAGAAAGGCCAAAACGAACAAACAAAAACAATAATCCCCTCCCCACACCTCATTGGATTCATATAAAGATGACCCAGTGGAGGCAGGCAAGACTCACCCCAACCAATATTCACCAAACCCGCTGTGTGAGTGATCAGCGCTCCACAGGAGAGAAGCCCAGCAACACTTCACAGCTTGTGTCACACCAAAGCACGGCATCATTTCAAAAAGCAGCAGTAGCCGGGCACTGCCCACCCGGGCATGTTCAGGGTGCTGACACCACTTGTCTTTTATGTTTTAAAAATAGAGCTAAAGAAGTAAAAAGTCAGATTAGGCATGTGAATTCTAAAATTTTTTTAAATATATTTTATTGATTTATTACAGAGAGGAAGGGAGAGGGAAAGATAAAAACACCAATGATGAGAATCATGGATCCGTTGCCTTCTGCACGGCCCCTACTGGGGATCGAGCCTGCAATCCGGGCATGTGCCCTGACCAGGGAATCGAACTGTGACCTCCTGGTTCATAGATCTATGCTCAACCGCTTAGCCACGCTGGCCGGGCTTAAAATTTGAAATGTGTTATTTTTGATATTCAAGGAAGATGTGGATTCCTACATGAAACAGCCTGGGAATGAGACTGTGAATACAGTGCTAAAGAAGTTGGATGAACAGTACCCCAAGTATAAGTTTATGGAACTCAACCTTGCTCAAAAGAAAAGGAGGTAAGCATAGAAATTTCCAAGTTTTTAAAAAAGTTAATCTGGTATGACAAACTTTTAAAAAGTTGACTTTTTTTTTTCAAATTCCAGCTCTGATCTAAATACCTTTCATTAAAGTTCTATGTAGCAATCTTCTTCCCTAATGGTTAGTGCTTTTGTATCCTGTTTGTCTCTTCTAAGTCCATGAAGATATTCTCTTAATGCTTTATTCTTAAAGCTTTAATGATTTCTTATTCACATTTAGATCTATAATCCAGTTATTCAGAAGTGTGTTGTGCTAAATTTCAAAGCAATCGTGGATTTTCAAGTATGTTTCTTTTTCTTCATTTACTATAAATTGATAGTTGGATCTACAGCAGTGATTCCCAAAGTGGGCGCTACCGCCCCCTGGTGGGCGCTGCAGGGATCCAGGGGGGCGGTGATGGCCACAGGTGCATTTGTTTTAACTTTTTTCGAATTATCTTTCTATTCTGAGTTCAATAAATAGTTTCATAATTTCAAACTTCAATGTTTCTAATTTACACCTTTCTTTACTATATTTTACGAAAAAGGTAGAAACATTAATACATATATCTTTCTGTTTAATTGCTATTAAAATTTAAAAAAAATTAATTTCCAGGGGGCCCTGAGTAATATTTTTTTCTGGAAAGGGGGCGGTAGGCCAAATAAGTTTGGGAACCATTGATCTGCAGTCTTGATCGTATTAAGGTTTTTTTTGGCAACATTGCTTCATAAGTTTATTATTGTTCTTCCATTAAGAGGCATAGTATTTTGTCCCTTTTTATGATACTCAATGCCTAGATCCATTAATTATGAATTGCAAGATGATGATGTTCTAATTCGGTTATTATTTATTTATTAATTAATAAGCTGGCCTACTTCTATAAAAAGAAGCATCCCCTCATGTACTACTTGGTAAAAGTGGCTGTAGGAAATCAGTTTCCCTCTCAATCTCTTCCCTTGCAGGAGTCTTCTTTTTTTTAAATATATTTCATTGATTTTTTACAGAGAGGAAGGGAGAGGGATAGAGAGTTAGAAACATCGATGGGAGAGAAACATCAATCAGCTGCCTCCTGCACACCCCCCACTGGGGATGTGCCCGCAGCCAAGGTACATGCTCCTGACTGGAATTGAACCCGGGACCCCTGAGTCCGCAGGCCGACGCTCCATCTGCTGAGCCAAACCGGTCAGGGCATGGAGTCTTAGCCCCGTAGTTCTATGCCCCCACAGCAGCTCTCTACTGCCTTCCAACAAAGAGGTGGATTTTCTCTGGCTCTTTGAGCGTTAGAGATGGGAGTGCTGGTCTGTTGTCATCTTAACCTGATATAATTCCTGTCCTTTTAAAAAAACCTTTTTACTCTATTTTATTAGGTGCATGCAATCTGAGAATTATGTCATCTTGGTGAATTGAAGCCTATGTAAAATTATGCTGATTGTGTTGAAATGTTTTGTTGGATACTTATAGCTACCCCAGCTTTCTTCTCGCTAATATCACTTGGTGTATCTTTTCCAGTCCCTTTATTTTCAACCTTTTTATGATTTATATTTAAGGGTTTTTCCATGTCAAGAACATATGGTTTATTGTTATTATAGTCAGCCTCTCTTTTTATGTAAACAAATTATTGTTTTTAGAGACTTTCAAGGTCATCTTCATTATAATTTGTCTGTGTGTGGATCGCTTTCTTAACTTCTTAAATAACTACATTTGATCCTTGAGCAATGCAGGGGTTAAGGGTGTCGACCCCCCCCCCAAGACAGAAATCTGCGTATAACCTTTGACTCCTCAAAAATTTCACTATTCATAGCCTACTGTTGACTGGAAGCATTACTGATACATAGTGGATTAGCATATGTTTTGTATGTTATATGTATTATATATTGTATTTGTGCAATAAAGTAAGCTAGAGAAAAGAAAATGTTAAAATCGTAAGGAAGAGAAAGTATGTATACAGTATTTATTTTAAAAATCCATGTATAAGTGGACCCACACAGTTCAGAACTCTATTCAGGGGTCAACCGTATATGTCAGTTTCCTGTAACTATACCTCTGTGGCTAGCCTTTATTCATAGAGGATTTTGCTTTTGCTCGGAGCTGTGAATCTATACCAGCCTTGAACCACTTGAGCGCTGTTCCAAGTTCTTGAGCAAGTCAGGGGTCTAGGCTCAGGTCTATAGCTGGTATAGGCACCTGCCTTATGATGCCTACTTTTTGCCTGCCCTCTCACTGCTCAACTCAAAGCCATTTCTAGTTTTTTTCCCTTTTACTTTATTTTTTAAAATATGTTTTTATTGATTTCAGAAGGAGGAAGGGAGGGACAGAGACATAGAAACATCAATAGTGAGAGAGAATCATTGATTGATTGCCTCCTGCACGCACCCACTGGGGATCAAGCCCACAACCTGGGCATGTGGCCTGACTGGGAATTGAACTGTGATCTCCTGGGTCATAGGTTGACGTTATTCAACCACTGAGCCACACCGGCCAAGCCCTTTTATTTTTTTCTGAAATTCACCTCACCTCTGTGATGTCAGCTATGTGTTTTTGCAGCAGATGGCTGTATGTAGCCTGAATACTAACCTTTTTCTTTACATATGTTGCAAATCTTTCTCTGCTGGGGTCCAGCCCCAGCGGTCCAGGGGTTCCCAAAGGTGTGGACGGAGTCGGGCGAAGAATGTTTTACACGGAGACAGCGTTCATAGCTCTCTAGCTCTCTTTAGTCTCCGTGGATCTTCCTGTGCCTGGCTGCGGCCACAGAGAAAGATCCACGAGGCAAGCTGAGTCTTTATTTTATAGTCAGAGGTAAACAAGGTAGTGGTTACCAAAGTTACATTGTTCTTGTGAGTTTCACTTGTTTTTGTTCTTGTTGCACTTCCCTCAGCCCATTAGCTTCCCAGGTAAGATCTAGGGAGCCTCATAAGGTCAAGCCTAATTATGCCAAGAGGACTGTGCCCTCTAAGCTGGGACTTGTTTGTGACTTTGCCTACAGGTCAGTCCGAGGAGGCTTAATCGTATATTGGCTCCCCACATCTCACCCTTCTTTTATTTTTATGCTACTATAATGAAAGTTTTTAAGCTACCATAATGAAAGTAAAACTTAAGCATCAAGAACAAAACTCTGGCTATTAAAACAATAACAAAATAATGCCAATGCAAAACCCAAAAAATTTTAGAACAAACATAACATTTTTAAAACTACTAAGAATAATAAAACACTGGCAATGCAAAACAACAATAAGTAAGTTTCTGCTAAATGAAAGTTTCTTTTGCTGATTTACTGAGTTCTTGGACATGGCTGCGCAAGACTGGCAGCTAACCAATGCTAACATAGCCAGAAACATGGTTGAGGGAGTAACTTCCACTTCTTGCTTTTATTTATATATTTTTTCTGTTAATAAGAGTATCTTTTATTTTAGAAGACAAATTTCTCAGCACTGTGCTCAAGCAATAAATCTGTGGTTTGAATTTGTACATGTGCTGGGGTCCAGCCTCAGCACGTCCAGGGGTTCCCCAAGGTGTGGACGGAGTCGGCGAAGAAGGAATGACATGGAGGCAGCGTTCAGTCGATC